ATCAGATCTCATCATTATGTACAATGAAACGAACCAATAAAAATGTAGGAAAAGCAGAGAAATTATTGGTATGTAAATTAAGAAGATAAAAGCATGTATTATAAGAATTTGTGAGTTATGGATATTTTTAAATAGATCCAGTCACTCACTTCCTTTGGAAAGAGATGTGTGTTGTGACATAGAAGGCACAATTAGGCTTACTTATAGAAATAAGTGTGTGTGAGTGTGTGTGTGTGTGTGTGTGTGTGTGTGTATGTGTGTAAGAAATGACATAAAGCTATTAAATAGTAATTCAAGAGATGATGTTAGAAATTATTATATGTAGACTCTTAATACATAATTTTATTCATTACTAATGTTAATTTTTTTGTTAAACTCTATAGCTAGTACTTGGTTATAATTCTTATTGTTATAGTACTTCATTTGATTTTATTCCAGGATTTTAATCTGGATGATTTTTTAGTTTGGAATTATTAGTACTTATTTCTGTCCTTGTGAGCCCAGAAGTAAAGTTACCTGTGCATAGGATTTTTGTATATTTTTATGTTTCCTATCTCTATAGTATTTCATTCCTTACTTTAATATTTGTAAGAGTTTCCCAAGTTTTCCTCTATAATACCTCATAAAAACTAGAGATTAACAAACACTAGCATTCAGAAGATTAATATTATGGTTTGGAATTTCTTATACATAATTCTAAGGATCCTAATAATCATGTACATGTCCAGAAATATACTGATCCCAAATCAGCATTTTCACTGCATTGGAATGATACATATACTTGAGTAATCATATCTTTGGGTTATTTATATTTCTCTTTTTCTCTGAAATTTGTAATCATATTGAAGTTGTATGAGAATGAACTGTGTATCAGTGGCTGTAAAGAACCCTTGTTTTTTCACCTATTATGAACCATGGAGCTCTTGCACCACAGTGGGACTTCCTCTGGCCATTTAATAGAACAGGCCAACTTGTTGAGTAGCTCATTCACATATAGTGAACATTGCACTACTCCTAGGAACTTGTGACACATCCAGTTATTTTGTGATTCCAGTAACCTAGAGCAACGTGTAGGAATGTATTCAATATATTTTCTCCCTGCTCAAAATGTTCTTCATCTCGTATTGTACAAACATTTTCTCAGTATTACTGTTTTATAAATATACCCTTTTTTTAAACCAATTAATCCCTGACATAGACAGGTCCCAGTCTTTCTGCAACATAATTTTAAAAGAAAAAACCATTAATCGTGCAAAAATTTGGAAGAGCATGTACTATGGATTGAACTCATGTACACTCAACTACTGAGACATACCCTCAGCCCTATTTTCCATTTTACTGAGAGACAGGATCTCACTGAGTTGATGAGTGCTTCTCTGTTGTAATGGTTTAAGAAAATTTGCCAAAATTATTTTTGGTTCATTTAGAGATACTGTTGGTACAAAATTTGAAATTTTTATTGTGATCTTTATTTTTCTGTTCATGTAAGTACATGAGTAGATACATGCACATATATAATGTAAATGGAAGATTAAAATTCTTTTCTGAATCTTTTCTTCTCACAAAAATAATGATATTATTATAATCATTATTTTGCCTTTTATCTCCAACTAAACTTGTGTTATGATTTAATGTAGTTAAGCATTTATTTTTAAAGTAATTGTACTGGGCAAGTTGGTACACACCAGTAATCCCAGCAGGTCAGGAGGTTAAGACAGGAGGATCTCCAGTTCAAAGCCAGCCTCAGCAACAGAGAAGCACTCATCAACTCAGTGAGATCCTGTCTCTCAATAAAATGGAAAATAGGGCTGAGGGTATGTCTCAGTAGTTGAGTGTACATGAGTTCAATCCATAGTACAAAAAGAGAGATAAAAATAAACATGTAAGTAAATAAAGTGATTCTGATGGTGTGGTATGTACCAGAATAAGTTTTAAAATCATTACTTAAAGTATGACATCATTCAATGTGTTAATTAATTAATGCAAGACATTTTTTCCATTATGTATTCTATAAGTAACTACCATAAACACAGATTACATTCATTTTATTTTTTGTTTGTATAATTACAATTGATATACTGTGAAATCCAGGGTATTTGCATTGTCAAGAGTATTGATACATTTGAATCTTTGTCATTTTGACAAATTTCTGTATTTAAACAATACTGAAATTTTCTGAGAATATAATTATTAATGCAAAAGTAACTAATTTGGGGGAGCATTACTTGATATAATAAAGATCAAGAAGAAAGTGTTTCTAATACTGGCCTGTATTCTCATCTTGTTTATTCTATTAAATAACACCAGCTACTATTATTCCTTATCATGGTCACACTGCTATCTACTTTCTCATCCTCCTCCTTCTCTTCTGCTGTCTTTCCCCTTTTATTGACAAGGTCTCTTTGTCCTATTGTGAATGGGGAAATCTATCAAGATCAGAGGTTAATGGTTTAAAACTTACAATAACTCTGTCTCAGTTTTTAGTCAGAACTTTCACTAACTTTGGTTTTCTGTTTGTATTGTATGGAACTTATCACAAACAACAAAATAATTCTATTGAATATGAGGCTTGAGTTAAGATCTCAATATGTTGGTGCCTTTAAGAAGGTAGGGAAAAAGAAATGCTTAAGAGGTCACATAACAGTATGGCAAGTAATGTTTTCTTCTAAGCATGGTATTTATTTAAAATGTTTTAGACTCTTCTGTTTCCTCCTATGAAATATTATCCTATTTGCTGACAGAATGATTTTGTAATTGTAAACTAAAGGGCTGTGGTCAAAAATAAATGACAAGAAAACTTAGGTAATCATTATGTTTGCAGTATATATTTCCTATGTTCATTCTGTTGGGAAGCTGTGCTGTGATGTTGAGACTTAACTGTTCCAAGGGAGTTTTCCTGAGGTGTCCTCTAAGGTTGGCATATGGCAGAAAGCTCTCTCAAGCTAAACATCCCTATCATGGTCTAAGATGTAATAGTCTGAGTTCTCAGGTGAGTTTGTTCAAATGCTGGAGTGAAGACAAGTAGAGGCCACACATTTATATCACTGAGAAAAGCAATTACTTTAAAGCTAAAAGGTTGTGAAGAGCTTGAACACTTACAATATAATTTCAGCAATTCCACTTAATCATTTGATTGCCAAAACTCAAGAATTTTCCTTTAAGCAAATTGATGGAATATCTATTCTCTAGGTCTTTGGTTGAAAATACAGTGTTGATTTATCTAGTTTCTAGTTTCTGTTATATAT